GTGTTAATTAGTTTCCAGTACCCTATCGGTGTCTTATAGTTATACCAATCCAGGGTAGGTTTATCCAGCTTGTGTTCCATAAATGTGTAACCACGCCCCAAGGATAAAGAGCCCAAGTTTAAGTCTTCCAGCATCCCAAAATGCACTGTTCCCTTCCCCCAACCTCCTGTTCTGTGTGGACAGACTTTTCACCCCCTGAACTCTACTGCCCAGGGGGTGGTACTGGCACAAGCCAGCTCCCCCTCTGGCCCCTGGGGGTGTGACCTAGCCTGGCAGTTTGCAGGGGCACAGAGCGGTCCAAGAGGGAGGCCTAGTGTGGGTGAAGGGTGGAACAAGGTAGGGGGCCAGATCAGGGTCTCTGTGAGCTGGAGTTTCCCTCCCAGGGCAGGGGTGGTGCCCCTGTGATCTGGGGCTACCCAATCCCAGTCCCAATCCCAATCCCAATCCTAGTCTCAATCCCAATCCCAATAGCAGTTTATTAAAATGTGAGACTTTCATTAATTTTCTTTTTATTTCTTTTAAAATTATTTTTCTTTTAAATCTTTTTCTTTTATCCTTTAGTGGTTTTAACATCTGACTTCTTTCACTTCACCAGTCAGCTCACGGCCATTATTCCCACCTATTGCCTCTCTACCCATTTCACTAACTCAGTCCCCATCATTAAAATTCTCCCTCTTTCAGCCTCATGCTCCCCTACCTACCCACGAAGCCATCTCTCCAATCCACTCCCACCTAGAGCAGGAATAGAGGGCTGTCCTGGCTAGCCAGCCCTCTAGTGGCAACTCACAGCTGTAGCTCCTAGTCAGATCAGTGCTTGCAGCCCCCTAGTGGTAAGTCATGGGAGACTGTTAGGGAAGATTTTTACCCTGAATGTGTAATTGCTCTAAAGTCAAGCTAACATTAACGCTGATCAACATTTGAGAATCTTAAAGTGTAATGTGGGTGACAGTAGGCTGACTCTGAGCTGTTTTAGTGAACCAATCAGGCCACCCTTGGGCAGTGCTGCCATCTGTTGCCAGGCAGACTGAGGGAAATTGTGGCACATGTTAAAATGTTTGCATAAAGGACCTCTGGATGCACAGTGTCCACACTGCAAGCACTTTACTCTTCAGGGTCTCAGCAATCAAATGTCTGTTCAGATGTCTCCACATAAATTTTTCTTCAAGGAAAACAAACCCAGAAGAATTCTCCCAGGTCATCTGAATATGTTTGATCTAAATCTGTTTTGCTACAGTTTAAACTTATTTCTTCATGTTTGTTCTTTTCCCATAGATAGATGGCTTGTGTAGAAAGGGTTAATCTTGCTGCCCATTGTCAGCAGTTTTAGATTGATATTTGCTTAAATGCATGATGCACCAAAGGCATGATGTTTGATGTACTCTCTGTTAATAAAATTAATGTAAAAAAATCATGTTGCATGCAACAACCACGAAGGGTCAATCAGCAGGTCTCAGGAGTTGCTTGGTAAGCAGTGCTCTGCCTCATTACCACTGACTGCCGCTATGAGAGTTTGTTCTGAAAATGCTATGCTGCTGCCTTGCATTTCATTAATAGAGTGTGCTGCTGTCACTCAGGTGTATGCTAGAGAGTTGATTTGGTTTGCATCCAGTCCTTGAGTAACAGTGCCGTTATATTGCTACAAATGGCCTCTTTTAAAACACATTTGAAAATGTCAGCTTTATCTGAAAAAGAAGTGAGTATTAGCATCTTGCTTATTCTTCATCAATAGCTCTGGAATGGAGCAATGGCCACTCTATGGCTAGCCCTAACATTTTTTACTGAACTCAATGTCTCAAGTGTGTCCTGCCAATGAGGTAATCTGGCTGGCTGACTCGTTCAAGGTGGTATGAGTTATAAATGTGTTCTTGATAAAATTTTTATTTTCTAGTAAAAATGCATTCTTTATTTTGTTTGAGGTTAAAAACATTAAATGATTTATTATGCCATTGTAATCTCTGTGCGTGCTCTAATCAAAGCATTATCTGGTTTGCTGTTTCAGTATCAGGATTTCTGTGCTTTTCAGTTCACTCAGGCAGACTGTTCATCTTATGCTTCTCTTATCAGATAAGTGCCACCAACAGCAGTACACAGCAATTTTTATTATATAGAAGGCCCTTTAGAACACAGACAACCAATCACTGTCCAGTTTGCTGTAGAGAAGGGAAAGTCTTATTGCTATGATTATACACACAAGCAGTATAACGGTGCAGCTAGATGTCCTGAGTAGAAGAGGTGCATGGGAAATTGGTGCCTCCCAGGTACCAGAAGCTGCAGCATGGCTAGCCAGCACTGGCATCAGCTATAATTTTTGTGCCCTGGTTTCTTACTCCATGACTCTCACACACAGTTGTTTTCAAAAGCTCAATGCATTACTTATTAGAAAATGAAATATTCTCACAGTAATGCTTTAGTACTATCATATATTAAAAGCAAGGGGCTTTGTGGTATGGTTCAAACACTGAGAGTAAGATCCAAACACTGAGAATTTTGTCAGTCTAGGTTTAACAGGGACCTTTCCATCACGTAATTAGGTTATTTACATTTGAAGAGTTGTGTGTTTTCTGCACCAAAACTGAAGGCATGTGTCCCCTTCTCTGACTGAAGTTCAATAAGATTTAGTCCACAAAGAAACTCAAGGGATCGTCTGTCCAGATCATAAGTATACATAGGAGCTAACTACATGGGGTTATGCTTTATTTTAGCCTTTGCTTATGTGGAAGCAGGCATGCAGATGGGAAACATTGCTGGTTTAGACCTAAAGGTACTTCATTTCTGGAAGAGGCCTCTTAGTCGTATGATTTCCATTCATCTAAGATGCAGTCCTCCTGGGTTATAAACATGCTGACCTCACATTGTCCTCTTTACAGAAACATCTTCTAAGAAGTTTGCTACATGCTGTACAGAAACCGATCTATTACAATAGGATATTTCTGTCTTCCCACCTTGCCTGCCTAGATCTGGCACTGATACCCCTGCCCATAGAAAGAACCAGTGTACTGATTAAAAGCAAATATGACCTTTTTTGACACATCAATTTTTTTCATTTTTCCCCCCAGGCTTATT